ATAATTATTTATTTTTTAGCATATGTTTTAATATATTTTTGGTTGCCTCCTCACCAAAGTTCAAATTTATTGGATTGTGAGTAACTCTATGCTGTTGAGCATGAATTTCTTTAGTTTTTTGGAGGTAAGATTGAATCACAATGATAATAAATAATAACTCATTTCATGAAACAATATTTTTATTACAAAAATATTTATTAAATATATTTTTTAATCAAAGTTCAAATTTGTTGGATTAGGAGTAATTGTAAGCCTCCTTTAGTTTCTCTGAAGTAAGATTTGAATCATAATAATAATAAATCATAACTCATAATAAGCCACTTCATGAAACAATTTTTTATGTTACAAATACATTTATTAAATATATAATTATTTATTTTTTGTTACAAAAACATTTATTAAATATATAATTATTTAATTTTTTGTTATAAAAACATTTATTAAATATATAATTATTTATTTTTTAGTATATGTTTGGTTGTCTCCTCATCAAAATTCAGATTTATTGTATTGGGAGTAATTCTATGCTGTTGAGCATGAATTTCTTTTAGTTTCTTGGAGGTAAGATTGAATCACAATGATAATATATAATAACTTATTTCATGAAACAATATTTTATTACAAAAATATATTAAATATATTTTTTAACCAAAGTTCAGGTTGGGAGTAATTGTAAATCTCCTTTAGTTTCTCTGAAGTAAGATTTGAATCATAATAATAAATCATAACTCATAAATAAGTCACTTCATGAACAGATTTTTTTGTTACAAATACACTTATTAAATATATAATTATTTATTTTTTAGTATATGTTTTAATATATTTTTGGTTGCCTCCTCACCAAAGTTCAAATTTATTGGATTAGGAGTAATTATATGCTGATGAGCATGAACTTCTTTTAATTTCTTTGAAGTAAGCATACATTCTAAAGGTTTAGGTCCTGAGAGTTTCAGCCTAGCTTCTTGCAAATCAATATTCATATTGGCATGTATCTTTAGATCATATTTATTAAACATCCCCTCTACATGCTGCTGATGAACTACTATTGACCAAATTTGATTTTTAATGAATTCATATAGCAAGAGAAAATCAAATAATTTGGGATCATTGGCCACAGAGAAGACAATAAATTCATTATGAAAGTCATCTTCTTGTAATGCTTCAAAGAGACCAAAAGATTCTTTTCTTTGATTATTAAAATCATCTACCAGCTGGATAATGCATTTACTTACAAGGTTATTAGAGAAATTTGGCAGAGGAAAGTCTAATATTACACAGATAACTGCCCATGCAAATGTTTGACCATTGTTACCTCCTAAATTACAGACTGAAAGTGGCAAGTGAGTCCATATATCCATCCACTTTTTAAATATATCCAAGGCCTTTGTTAATCCTGCTTTAATCTTATCCATTAAATCAATATAATCATTTTTTTCTAGGCATCTATTTGCAGCTTGAAATTCTTCAAAAAAAAAAACAATTTCTGGTCTTTCTGCAGCTTCATTCAATTCCTTGGTCCATTTTTCCACCATTTCTGGTAGCTCATGAGCTCGATAATCATTAGGGAGTGTTTTAATGGTGCCATTATGTTGTATCCTAGGACAAGGATCTGCTGTAGTGAGAAAATTGAATAATCGTTCATAGAACCATTTGCCAAATTGTACCATAA